CCCCAAAACCCCAAAACCCCAAAACCCCGTGAGTAAAATAACATTCTTTCATTCTTCGTATCATAGTAATAATTTACTTGAATAAATCAACTACCAAGAAGTAAAATAAATATGTCAATTGAAGATTTAACCTCCATAAACTTTGAAAGAATGATAAGCTTCTCTTTCAATCCTCTTCAAGATACGCTGCAACATATAGTAAAAATGATTGAACTGCATCATTAAATGTTTTAAAGACTTAACGATAATAGCTCTATATTCTATTCTACAGAGTAAGAATTCATGTTATATTTCTAAATTTTATTTTCAATTGATATGCCCTATTGATTCTAATCTCTATAATTCAATAGTTCTGAGGAGGAAGAAAAGAAGAAAAAAGAGCAATCAAAGCACGATAAGCATTTACTCGAGCCTGTGTACAAGAGGATAACTCAACTTGAGAAGATGATTACTGATTAGAATAAAGAGTTATCTCAAATGTAGAGACTAGCAAAGTAGCATCATGGAAGCATTCTACCATCTCCAGGCAGAGGCAAGGGCTAATTTAGTTCTAAAGGATCTGGAGGTGTTAGGTTTAAAACTGATGACGACTTTGAACTATTCTATAATGAAAAAGGTCTCTTCAATCAAAATGATAACTCAAAAATTGGAGGAAGCTTCATTGGATTAAGACTAAATTAAGTCGATGAAGATGATAGAAGCCCTTCAAATTTCCATAATGTTGTTGACATGAACTCAGAAATATTTGAGAGAAGACTATACAAACATTTATATGATATGAGAAAAGACCTATTAGAAAAGATGAATAAAAAACAAGAAGAACTAGACCATAAATTTTCAGTTGAAATAGCTAAAATCCAAAATATTATTGACACTGAATTAGGACTAGAAGATGAAAATGATATTATGGAAGAAGATGATTCCGCAGATTCTGAGAGCACTCCTAAAAAAAAGAGCAGTCATAAATCTGAGAGTTAAAGAGATTAATAAAATGCAATTAATGTTGAGAATTTTGAAGATGAGAAGTAAGGTGCAAATGATAATGAAGAAAATCAAGCAGACCCTAATAGCAATCTGAAATAGTAAAAGACATAGGGTCTTAATAATCCGACATTACCCCTAAGCTAACCATCTAGTAATATAAATGATAGAGCAAAAGATCATAAAAAGAGTATAAGATCTTTAGAAAGAGCTAATATAATCCAAAGAACACTAAATGAGCTTGAGAGGAAATTAGATATTGTTCATAAAATGGCATCTAAGTTCAACGATTATTACGATTCTAATCATCTAAGAATAAATTCAGTATAAGAAATAGTTATCAAATTAGAGAGTATGGAAAAGGCAATTGATTAAAAAGCAAATTCTCTTGATCTTAAGAAAATCATGCCAATCATTCATGAATTAACTGAAAGTATGCAGAAAAAGGAGGATAGATATGCTGTCTATGAAAAAGGTCTTTAACAGATAGAGACTTCCTTTAATAATACACAAAAGTAGAATAACTATAAACTTTAAATCTCAGAACAGAGATATGATGCTATTTAAAAGGATATTGGAGATATAAGAAAAGACATTGAGATTAAATTTGGATCAAAAAATCTATTGAACTTTGGATTATCAAGTTAAGATACTTTAATGAAAAAGGAAGTCAAAGAACATATAAAAAAATATGTTGAGGATAGAATCAACCATGTTATTGGTATTTTCGATAATTCTAACAAGGAAACTCATGCAGTACTTTCAAACCATGAGGAGGTAATTAATTTGAAGGCTGATTTGAAGCTTCTTGAAGAAACTCATGAGAAATTTAGTGTTTAACTAGAGAAGCACATGTAAAGCTCAAATAAGAAATTTATGGATAAGGCAGAGACTAAGAAAACTTTTAAGATGTTTGAAAAGTAGCTTAAAAACATTTTTGATATAATTCTATCGAAGTTTGAAGAATAAGATCTGACTGATGCAATGCTTGCTAAGAAACCACTTGGAGGTTGGTCTTGTATATCTTGTCAGAAGAATATTACAAACATGTCTGGAGCAATTGCAGAGTATTAAGTTTAAGGAAGATTTCCTTGGAGAGATCCCTAGGACAGACTTCAAAAAGTAGGTGCTGGATTCTCTTAAATGCTATCTCGGATGAGACCTGAAACTACTATAAATGAATAAAGAACCTCAAAGTTAGGAGGATTGGGTCATAGTGCATCTTAGTAAAATTTGAGATAATCAATTGGAACAGCATAATCATCAATAATTAACCCTTCATTTGCTTCCAATACTGATTTAGCCCCAGTTATTAAAGGTAGAGATAAAGTTCAAATAAAATAAGAAGATCATCAGCACAATGAAGAATCTAGCTAAAGAAAATCTTCAAGCTAGGTTAAATACTAACCACCATCAACTAAATTAAATCTTGGTTCTACCAAAACTTAAGGATTCAATTCAACAATGAATGAATCATCTAAAAATACTAGATAGCCTTCAAAACTTATCTAGCTTGATCCTTTATCAACAACCTCTAACTTCACAGATATTCAAAACTCTTAGCCCATTGTTCCAAATCTCAAGAATATTCCAGTCCTCAAGTGATATTTATGATATTTACTTTTACTTAAATCAATATTTGACAAGATAATGTACAATGGGGTTTTGGGGTTTTGGGGTTTTGGGG